CCCTCCCCTCCCCCCTCCCCACCCGTCACCCTTGACAGCGTTATTTATCCTATGCTTCCCTACAAATCACGGAGATTTATACCCTATATTGAGAACTCCACTCCCCTGTAGGTTTACTGGACAAATCCCAGTAACTCAAGTAAATGTAGGTTGATTGGAAAAAAATGATTAATGACTTGAGTAACGTAAGCACCAGGGAGTTGATTTACCACTGACATGACTCCCTATGGTATAATCAATAGCTTTTATTCGCTTCCGCACTAAGTATTTCAAACATGGCATATCGCGTATAAACCTTTTGGACAAAATATTCTGTTACACTGGAAATTGTCGCGGTGTGTAAATGCCTTCGCTTTTGCGTTGAGTAAATTAGCGCGAAAATATCCCCAAGAGATATTACACATATACATAGATTATAAATGTTTCATATTATAAAAATTAAATTATCGTATCATATAAAAATTTCAGGACCATTGCTAATGCGAAACTTTCCTCGTCGCGGTCATTTAAATATTATCTTTTTTCTCGATATCCTGTTCATCGTAAAAAATATCAAAATCTGCATGACATCCTATTTTTTGGATTAGTCCTTCAATGGAAAGTATCGTTGATCCCGACCTCTAGTCACGTGATCAGGGATGTTTGCTCCGTGTGAGGCTCACCCCGACAATCTCTGCAATACACAAACTGTGTAGTGTTGACAGCTTTATCCCCTCTACGCAAATTAATGGGGAAATAAATCGAACTTATACTAAGAAACACATTAAAAAACAGACCTCCGACCCTTCGGAATCTCTCTCGGTTTACCTTCGTCAAGTTAACTTTGTCGCGAGACATGCTTCAAAAGTATTGTGGCATTAGTGGCGAGACACATCAAGAGTGTGTCCCTTCACACATTGGGGTAATCCCGGTTGTCGACTTCCTCAGTAATATCGATTCATTTCTGTTTCTCAAACCTACAAGGCCATCACAAGGGTACAGTACATGCAAGGACCGAATACTTATTTTAAGGTTTAGAATTATATCGATAATGAACTTGATTGGTTTTTCATTGAATTAATACTTCACCGATTACATACAATCAAATTAAAACCTAAAAAAATAATTAATTATGACCTAATTTCTAGAACACTGGAAAACCTCTCACATAAGAACTTGATGTAGCTGTGTTGGTATTGGGGTGAAATCATTGTGAATCGTCGAAAGAGCCTCTGTCAAATCATAAATACAGCTACGTTCGCTAGCTTTCTAAATACTTACAGTAATCTGAATCAACTCGGCAGATTCTAACACATGGTAATTTGAATCAACTCGGCAGATTCTAACACATGGTAATTTGAATCAACTCGGCAGATTTCAACACATGGTAATTTTCACACACGGCAGCTATCAAACCCTTAGAAAAGAGAAATACTATTGGCAAAGCAAAAGAGAAGACTTTTATTGTTTGTTACAAAGTCACCCCGTTGCAGAGGTGCCGAATAAAAACGATTTTTATTGGTCCTTTGTATTGAAACTATTGTTTACCCGAAGACATTGTGAGCCAGACTACCGGATGCTTATATATCGTAGAGGAACGTCAATTAGGATATAATTTAAATTAGACTAGACCTGCATGTTTACGGCCTCATTTAATTGGAAACATATTGACGTCCAAAGTCACTGATGAACTTGTATTTACCTTTGCACGGTAGGTGGCGGGACTAGTCGCTGTGGGAGTCGGACTATGGAGCTTATTGGATGATGGTGGGATAATTGCGGACGCTGTCGACTTCGTTCTGGACCCGTCGGTCATTATCCTTATACTAGGAGCCATAACATTCATCGTGGCATTCCCGGGCTGCCTCGGGGCTGTTCGTGAAAACATCATCCTTCTTAGAGTGGTAAGTACTTCAGTCAAATCGATTGGTAATATTATACGTAACTTTTAGATGGACATTAGTCAAGGATTAATGGATGGATAATCAAACAGGACAGATGACCAGTGGTCATAAATTGAGTCCCTACAGGCCATATTAAGGAAGTTATGATCGAAATGGCCTACACTGATGATATTTGATTTGCATTTTTGCATTCATTGCCGAATCGTCTACATTCCGGGGACATACTGATAAGTTACCAGCCACTGTTATACCAATGATATTTATATCCTTGTTGACCTACAAAGAGAAAACACAGAAATTGATAACTCTTCACAGCGGGAGGGAGGCACGTAACTTACATACACTAATAATACATTTAAGGATCCTGCTTTTACCTCCCTTTAACTTCCGTTAACTTAAACATAGTTGGGCCTGAACAAATACATTTTTTGAATATTAATGAGGGTGAGGTCAGCGCGTGCCGAAGCATGCTGTGTTGGTTGGTTTAGCAAAAAAATGGCTTCGCTTCCAGCCAATCACACCACGGGTCTCGGCAAGGGCTGACCTCAACCTTATTAATATTCAAAAAAGTGGCACGATCACTGCGAAAACTTTGAGACTCTGAAATGGCGATTGTTTTTGGAGGAAACGGAGATGATGTGCGCGGAAGGGGAATACATTTACGTGCATATTTTTGCTTTTAATGACCCATCTTTCCAACGGAACTAAGCATTTTTCCGTAGATCAACTAGAAATGTTGTTTTTAATGCAAGAAAGTTAGGTGGGGTCGGCTTTTGGACATCGGGAGCTTTCCGCCCTTCTCGTATATATGATCATCGGGGATGTCAGTTTTACCGAAAGTCGATCTAAACCCCTAAAACATGTAGAATTACACTGAACACCTTAGTTTAGGTCAAAATCTAGTTGTTACAAATGATCAGGTCCCTGTGCTTTAGATGCGTCACGAAATCAACTCTGACAATTTCGATACTAATTGAGAAATTGCAACTTACAAATCACATCATTGCATTACTGGTTTATGTAATGAGATTTTGTTCACAGAGCCGGGGTCGTTGACTTTCCGGTAGCCAAACCTAGCAGACTGATAGTATACTGGGAGTAATTGTAATGTGACGTTGCATGGTAGGCAGAGTTATCGGGTTTTTATAAAAAACGGAACAGTTATTTTATATGAAACGGAAGGTAGAATAAAATTGTTATCCGCTATCATATAATTGGTATAATGACTTTTAAGCCTCTTTGTGTTAACATTTCTTGACCGATGCCTGAACCCTGCATTTTACCGGAAATGTTACCATAGATACTTGGTACCGGAAGTGCTTACCCTTGAAAATGAATTCTCCTATGTTTTCACTGGTAATACCTGCCATAGCACCGTACACCTGATATCTTATATCTGTTTATTCACCGGAAACACTTCAACCGGTTAATTGTACCGGAAATGCTCTGTCTGTTATGTTGTACAGGAAATGCTCTGTCTGTTACATTGTACCGGAAATGCTCTGTCTGTTACATTGCACCGGAAATTGCACCGGAAATGCTCTGTCTGTTACATTGTACCGGAAATGCTCTGTCAGTTACATTGTACCGGAAATGCTCTGTCAGTTACATTGCACCGGAAATGCTCTGTGTGTTACATTGTACCGGAAATGCTCTGTGTGTTACATTGTACCGGGTATTCTCAGTCTGATGTTCTGTACCAGACATTTGTATCTGTTACAATGCACCGTATTCCACAATGCGTAACACTAAAACGGAGATATTTACCCTGGATTTGTTATTTTCACCATCCGATTTGATCAGATTTACTCTCATAGGAGTAATTTCAAGATAAAGAAAATGCAGATTTCTTAAGCTTTACTCACCATCGGATTTTTTATGATTGACATGTTGTCAGATTTGATAAGATTCACACACTATCAGTTTTGGTTAGAGTAACTCTTACTGACAGCAAGGAGCATTTGAGATTTCGTAACTCATATCTGTCATATCTGTCATATCTAGTACAATTGAGTCACTGTCACGTCTGGTAAGATTGACTCACTGTCACATCTGGTATAATTGACTTAATTTCACATCTGGTAAGATTAACTCAATGTCATATCTTGGGAGAAGGAGTCACTGTCATTTTCGGTAAGATTTAGTCACTCTCACATCTGGTCAGATTAACTTACTGTCATATCTGGTAAAATTGACTCAATTTCACTTCTGGTAAGATTGACTCACTGTCACGTTCGATAGGATTGACATCTCACTGTCACATCTTTAAAGATTGACTCATTTTCACATCTTGTTAGGTTGACTCACTGTCATATCTGAAAAGATTGACTCACTGTTACATCTTCAGATAGATTGACTCATTGTCAACTCTAGTGAGATTGACACACTGTCTTATCTGGTAGGATTGACTCACTGTCATAACCGTTAGATTGACTCATAGTCATATCTTGTTAAATTGAACCACTATCATATCTGGTAAGATTGACTCATTATAATATCTGGTAAGATTGACTCAATATAATATTTGGTAAGATTGGGTCACTGTCATATCTGGTAAGATTGACTCATTATAATATCTGGTAAAATTGACTCATTATAATATCTGGAAACATTGACTCAATATAATATCTGGTAAGATTGGGTCACTGTCATATCTGGTAAGATTGACTCACTTTCAGACCATAATTTCTCGTTAAAACCGGATCCAGGTAATAGGTTGATGATAATTCGTTGTTATTTTTGTTTCTAATCAAAGTCATAGAACACTGTATTGATTCCGAGCCGGTATTGCACGGTAATAATTAATTATGTAGGGTATTTTCGTACTTCCCAGACGAGATAGGAACAATGTAGCACTCGATAGCCACGAAATCGATATAAACAAACAACGTTAATTTTGACGTTTGTAAGATGAAACCACGAAGGACATTTAGAGGCTGGAAAATCTATGACATTTCACGGGAATGACCCACATAACTTCATCTATATGGGGAGCACTAATGTGGCGCGTTCGTTGTTAAGAGTTAAGTCATAATTATGTCCGCTAAAAATCAGAAATGTAATAAAACCAATGGTAGCTGAATGTCCGGCACGCATCATTTCTCTAGTCTATCAGTCTCCACGTGACAGCATTCCAAAATGCCTTTCTAAATAAGAAATTAGATTCGGAACAGCACGCTAATTGGTTTCAGGAATTTATTTATAATGTAATACAAAAACTATTTAAGTTTTACTGCCTTTATTGCATGTTAAGAGACACCAGTGAGTTACACGACAGTCTACTGAACAACTCTTACCGCATGTTAAGATACATCAATGAGTTACACAATAGTCTAGTCAACAGGCGTTCTTGCATGCTAAGAGACATCAGTAAGTTATTTTGACTGGTGGTTGTCACAGAGAGTATTAATTTCATTCCCGTGCGTAAAATGTTTTACACAAAAAAATAACGTACAAACAAAAACGTGGTTTACGACTATTTGGAGAACGCTTAAACCAATCCTGTATCTTAAACCAAATTAACATTCTAGATATACAAATTGAAATAATATGTCAGCGTCAAATGACGAGCAGAGATAGGGGTATCCCAATTAAGCGGAGGGAACCCCTACACGGTCTGTAACGGCTCAACCGAAATAATGCTCGCAAAAAAAGCGGCCCCGTAGCGTTTGAAAAATGGCCAACCTGTTCAGGACCCTGGTGTGGTACCGCGCCATGCGGCCCAGATTCGTCTCCCCGTGTATCAGCAGTACTTGTCTGCTGGAGATAACATGAACATGTACTGTATGATTGATTAAACGCCAAACTGGCTTTGAGTGTAAAAGTTACTTAATCAGTGCTATCATGCTAAGCTATCAAACGAAAGAGTATCATTTATTTCGTTCAACTATCGATTTAAGCGACCCTGTGTCTAGCTTTAAAGTTATTATTTAATACCTGATATGGTTATAGGGCGATGATAAAAAAGGCGTACCCTAAGGAGTGTGATTATATAGCTGTTTGAATTTTGAATGTAGACGACCCAAGTTTACACGAATTTTTACTTCGCTTGACTATACGGAAGTTTAACCTGAAGCGCCCTCTGCCGGGGAGGTCTACACAAATCGATAACTCTGTCCAATTAAGTTCACAAAAATGCTACATTAGAGTGTAAATTCGCCACTTGAACAGATGAAAAATTATCTTTCTGGGGGTGATCGATTGCACGCTGTATCTGAGTTGAAATAAATGTTTTTGTATAGAGTAATACAGAGCGCACCGTTCGTTATTGATGTTTATATGTAGAGTATTTTCGAGCGCCTCAATCATTGCGTCAATCACTATGGAGCTCCTTTGGGAACAGGCTGGTACTGTCTCATGTGTACGAGTTGTCTGAAAGAGCTGTTTTGTTGAGTCTCCATATTCCTGTTTACCGTACGCGTGTTTAGCTCGTGCGAACGGTGAAATTAACTCTTGCACACGACAAAATTAAAGGGGCTGGTCGGGGAAAAAAATACAAAATGATGGGTCTAAATGCGTTCTCTGGCCTTCCTCGGGGAAGTCCCGCGTAAATTTAGCGCAGATCTATTTATATATGTCACGTGGTTGTTTCGAAAGTGAGGCAGTGAAGATAACAACAATAGCACGCCGTCATGTGCCATGTCGGACTCAACAGCAATACTATACGTAAATAATTATTTTCAAAGGTCGTGTATGATGCAAGTGTAGTATTCCTACCTATATGTTGTTGTTATATATAACGGTATTGATACCTCGTGCCTGTGATGGCTTTTGCATGCATCTTTTTCTTTCGCCGCGATGTTTACATTTGGCCTTGTTGATGACGCGCGTGCTGTAAAATTACATCACTGATCTGGGGCAATTGAGAGTTTTAGACTGTTAGGTGACGATTTAGGATTTCTTTAATATAATTGTAATTTTTACTCTTCGGGAGTGAATTTCAGCTAAATTTGTATCGGTATATTTCATAAGAAGGTATTTTAAACATGTGTATGCCATTT